TCCATGAGCCACAAGGAACTCTGTGAGTGCCTTAATTCTGCCCGGTCTATGACAAGATTTCATCCTATGGGAGCAGTTGGAAAGAAATTACTTCAGATTCTTAGCTCAATGTCAGAAAGTCCCAGAAGTCTGATGGAGATCTCTCGTGTTGTGATTTACAAATCAATAGATAGACAGCTGGCTGTAAAGGTACCACATCTACCCATACCAAATTCCATGAAGAAATACCTTCTTGAAATTCAGTAAAAACTCATTGTTGTTCTTTTAAGACCGCAGACTGTAGTGTCATTCATGTTTGTCTTATCATCTTTATGGATATGTAACAGATTTGTTGAAAAATTGGTATCAAGTTTAATGGTTGTATACTTTAGCCATTATATTTAATATTTTAAAAAATTTGACTACATGAATTTTGTGGATTTTATTTATTTTTTTTTAATTGTTAAATGTATTTTTCTATTTGAAAGTGCTATGAATTGTATTAAAGTGCTGTAAATAAAATGCCTTTAAGTGACGTTTCAAATTTAATATATAATGCATGCACATCTGTATAGAATGTTCACTTAACAAAAGAGCAATATGTATTGGTGACAAAATTCAAGGGAGATAACCCTTTTATTGTTTTAAACAGTGAAAGTAATACATTGTACATGTTTAGAGTTGTACTGCTGCATTTAATCAGAATAGAAAGAGTTTTGAATTGGAATGTATGAAAACAAGTTTTATCTGAAAAATGGTAAAAATGAAAATCCTTCAACAGGGGCTGACAAATAGATTTTTTAGGCACTTGTCCAAGGGCAAGTGCATGGTGAAAATTCACTTGCCCTACCTGAATTTTTGCTTGCCCAGCCATAAACTAGTATTGTATTTATATATATTTAAAAACAATAGGAAGAAAAATATTGAGTAGAACATGCAATCCCCTATTCCCAAAATTAAATCTATGACTTAAATCTTTATTTTATTTTGTTAAGTCACTTGCCCACGGGCAAGTGGTTGATAAAATTTCACTTGCCCTCTCCTAAAATTCACTAGTCCCGGGCATCGGGCAATGGGATTTGTCAGCCCCTGCTCCAAGGAAAAGGATTCCAAGAGGAATGAAATATTGCATCTTAATTGTTCATGCTGGTATGCCTTCTTTCCCAACAAACCTATATACATTTATTAATTTTGCTATAACGATTCTTCAAAATCAAGACTTAAGTTAAATTAAGTTAAGTTTGTGTCTTTCAGTGTGTTTAATAATTTTTCTCAAAAAAGGAAGGTGATTGATTGATTGACAATTTTACATAATATTGGATTAGTTTATGTACCAAAAGTAAAGATAGTGAAATTAGCAAAACACAGGGACGGGCTTTATCTGCATGTGTGTGCTTAACAAAGCAAGATGAACTTTAGCAAAGTTAGCAGTCAGATTTGAACCTTTTGTACATTAGTAGATTTCAAATCACAAAATGACATCATTATACTATAGATATAGGTGCACCACCACAGACACAAAGCATCATTTTTGAAAGGGGGAGGGTAACTGATATACTAGTACATGTATATGTACATATATATATATAGAGAGAGAGAGAGAGTAAAAGTATTGAAAGGGGGAGGGTAACTGATATACTAGTACATGTATATGTACATATATATATATAGAGAGAGAGAGAGAGTAAAAGTATTGAAAGGGGGAGGGTAACCAATATACTAGTGTATGTACATATACTGGTATATATATACAGTATAGAGAGAGAGAGAGAGAGTAAAAGTATTGAAAGGGGGAGGGTAACCAATATACTAGTGTATGTACATGTACTGGTATATATATACAGTATAGAGAGAGAGAGAGAGAGAGTAAAAGTATTGAAAGGGGGAGGGTAACCAATATACTAGTGTATGTACATATACTGGTATATATATACAGTATAGAGAGAGAGAGAGAGAGTAAAAGTATTGAAAGGGGGAGGGTAACTGATATACAAGTGTATGTACATATATATATAGAGAGAGAGAGTAAAAGTATTGAAAGGGGGAGGTAACCGATATACTAGTATATGTACATAGAGAGAGAGAGAGCAAAGGTAAAAAGTGTTATACATGTGTACTGTAACCTTTCTTGTTTCTGAGAAGAGTATGAAGAGTATAGGTAGTAATAACATTCTTTGTTTAAAGCTATATATATTGCGTATATGAGCTAAAAAATAAAAATACGAGATTGAGTGTAGATAAACAGGATACAGGTTATTTACGTTCAAATTAAAATTTTCACCGACTTTGAACTTGAATAACCTCATGTTTCCATAGTTAAACTGAGTTTAAACTGTGTCTGTTAATCAAATGCGGAGTCGGTAAATAAATCAGTTATTGTTTTAAATTTCTAATATCTTTGAAACGTGATAGATTTAAATTGTGTAATTTACAGGAAAGTCCTATCTTTATATAAAGTAATAAAACAAAGAGAAAGATCTTTTTAATTTTAGTTAATCTTAACTTATAAAAAAAAAATACGCCATATATGGTACATGTACATGCGACATCACCCTAATCCCAGGGCTCCTGGGGTCCGTTGTAGAAAAGATCCTGAGACTAAGAATAGATTATATACATTTTTCAAATAAATGTTGAGACAATTATTCCCCAAAACATTTTTTGGTCTTAGTCGTAAGTTCTATTGTTAAAGAATCTCCAGCATTATGCATATTATTTTGACAAACTAGATCTTGCGAGGCTCCTCTTTGGAGGAATTTTTTTCTGTGTTCGAGGCGCACCAATATTTGAGCCCTTACTATAAGACCTTTACAAGGTTACACATTAACGTACCAAAGTCTTCTGTTCACAGGCACTTGTTTTTGAAACAAATTTATACCCCAGGCGCGGTTCCAGGAATTGAAGTTAGGGGGGCGCAAAAAGTAGGCAGGGGTATCGGGGCCGCCTTGAGGCCCCCAGTGGGTCCCCCGGAAGCTCCTCGATTCTAGAGATTTTGTAGGGTAAAAATTTAATGAGGTCTACCGAGTAGACATTTTTACTTTTTCTCTCGACGAAACTATAATTTACTCTAACTTTGACAGTTTTTTTTGGAGGGGGGGGGGGGCGGCCGGGTGCGTCCTCCCTTAAATGCGCCACTGTACCCCATAGTATACACGACCTACATATGTATGTAGATACAGTCAAACCTCGTTATCTCGAACTTGAAGGGACCGAGAAAATACTTCGAGATAACCGAGGATTCGAGATATCGAGGGTAAAATACTTAAGGAATAAGTAGTTGGGACTTCAAAATGACTTCGACATATCCATGGTATTCAAGACATCAGTGTTTGAGATACCGAAGTTTAACTGTATAAAGATGGATCAATTTGCCACGTCAACTTGGAACAGATAAACACTAGTGAATTTTTGGGCTATTTTTTTGGCTAAAGGAGGAATGTAACAACAAAATTTTATTTCATGATATATACATGTATATATTTCAGAGAAAATGTAAAAATTGATATATCAATTACCCAGTAAATGAGATGCTTTGGAGTTTTAAAAAAATGCCGTTTATAGATGTATAATATAAAATATCTTAATATAAAAGATGTTAAGAAAAGTCAGATTCAGAGAGACATTAATTTTGAAATTTAAATATAAAAACATAATTTGTAATTTTTTTTTTTTAATCTATGAACAAAATCTTCAAGAGACAAGTAACCTATAGAAAAGCAGGCCCGTAGGAAGCAATTTCACTTTGAGGGGGCACAGCCATACATTTTCAGTTGGGGGGGCACTATCAACTACCAAAATTCCTTGACAAGCAAAAAAAAAAAGGTCATCAGACGTTATTATTGAGGGGTACAAGCATATAGTAGCTATATTTTCTATAGTATTCTATATATCGGCAAAATTATTGCCCCCCCCCCCCGGTTCCTACGGCCATGAAAAGAAATGTCAGGCAGTAGTATTCCTCAAAGAAAATGAATTGAAATTGCGAAACTTAAGGAAAAATGATTATTTTCAAATTTGGACCGATCTCGATTGAAATTAAACTGATCCAAACCACAATTACATAAAATTTCAATATATAACAATTTCACAAGAATACTAGATTAGTTGGGCGTAAAGTTTACAAATTATTTGAACTTATCAATGTAAAAGGTAAAGAAAACGAACAGTGATTGATCTAAAAAAAATATACAAACAATACAAATATGTGAAGAGGGCATAAAACACGGACCCCTGGAAATTCCAGAGGTGGGATCAGGTATCTAGGAGGAATTCACAGTCGCAACTGCATGAGATATGCAGACTTTTAGTGATTTTTATAAAATTTTGTATTGATTTTGATCGGGGTCGTTTTTAATTCAGTTGTTCAAACATAGATCTCAAGCTTCAGGTCTATGGTTCAAATTTGAAAATTAGCAGTTTCTCTAAAACTGCACAATTGTAACCAATTTCTTTTTACAATATGATTGCCTAGCATAGCTTTCCTAAATGTAATCATGAGTTGTTTGTTGAATATGTTACTCATAGGTTGAAAATTATTAAAAACAATTTGTTTTATTTTAAATATATTTCTTTATTTAAAAAAAAAAAATTAAAATGTCTCTGACATTTCTTGATTTTCTTATGATACTTGTAGCATGCAATTGGCTAATTTTAAACTCTAAAGCACTCTTTTTACATTATCTCTGAAGAAAAAAAAATACGAAAAAAATCATATGAAATAATTTCGAGGTAAAAATCAGTCTTCACATGCTGAAATCATATACATGTATAAGAAATTTTAAAAAATACATTCAATAAAATTTTGATGTAGCATTCCTCCTTAAAAAAAAGAAATTTAAATTGCATATTTAACATTCTTCAATATACTCCCACTTATTATAAAGACAGGGGATGATGATGAAATATTGAAATAAATTCAACGTTAATACAAGATGTATTTCTTGACGATTAAATCAGTTAAAGCACCAGACTGTCAACTTACAAGCAAATTATTCTCCTGCTTGAGAACAGATAATAAGATGCAAATGTAAGAATCTTTATTGAACAGAAAGCAAAAAATAAAATTAAATCGGTAACTAGTTAAATTTTAAGTACAGTGAAGATACGTTTTTGTTTTTAAAAAATGATATGAAGACAGTATGTAAAATTAACTTTTAAAAAAGGATTTTGACACTGTGACGTAATAGAATGACCTCTAACTTAGAATTGTGCCAACTCTTTATATTCCTCTATTATCAGCATACAAACATTCTTAACTGTTGAGAAAATAAAACTTGGAACTCCCAAACCAATTTTATTCTCGATGATCACAGAAAAATTGAATGAAAACAGACTGATTTTGGAGTTCTGGAATTGTATACAAGTCATTCAAATCCCAGGACATGCGCACTGCATCACCATAGTTTTTACCATATTCCCATGGGGTATTATTGTTTACTCGGAGAGCCCCCGAACAGGGGTGAAAACCCGGAGAATTCTTGTCTCTGCTCCGACAGAAGGCCTGACATTTTCGTCCACACGAGTCATAAGCAGACAGAAGGACTTCTGTATCGTTCTGACCAGGACTTTTAAGTCCAATATAGGTGGTGGACTCGGTAAACGCCTGCCTCAAATCCACGATGACGTATTCGTCATAATTTCCCTGGTAATTAAGTCCGTTAGATCGAATGTGAATGCGACCAACTGTTCTATCCCCTGTGACAGTTTTACATTTTTCTGATGATGGCATGAGTTCCTCTGAGAAGTATGGTTTGATTTCTTGATACTGTTCTGGATCGTAGATGTCGGCCTTGACGGAAGGCTTTCCATCAATGATTGCGTATGCTTTAAATTTACGGTGCTCAGGAGACCGTTTGTTAACAACACGAACAGGTATAAACACCCATTTTCGGGTATCTCCCTCATTGTCGATTTCGAAGGTATTCTGGCTGGAGAAAGAGACCCACGTATTGGAGCATTGCATCTGTTTGACCATTACCTGGTGGTAAGAGTTTGAAGAGGACTTTGCATTAATTGTCACCCTGTCTTTAGTTGCTTCTCTCTTTTTACGCCCAAAAGGGAGGGGCATTCCTCCTAACCGTGGGCCGGCACCCATTACACCAGGCACACCCCTCATTCGAGCTGCTCGTAGCTGTGCTGGAGGAGGACCCGAGGAGATCGGCAAGCACTGCGGGACACCGGTGGAAAGATCGCACGTCAGGTAGGGAGAACCACAGTTGGAGTTTTGGAAGGAACATGTCGGATGTGGCTGGTAAGTATATATTTGGGAGGTAAACATGTCGCTTATTCCAAATACATTTGGCAGGTTTCCAAATCCTGTAGGTGTAAAAGGGGCATGTGACTGTGGGCCGTAATTCTGAGGATAATCTTGGGTGGGGTCTATTCCCATGGCTCGCTGCTGCTGACGGAATATTTCCCAAACATAATCAACAAAGGCATGGTGAAGGTAGAAAACAGGGTCAAAAGCAGACGTTTCCATAGGCTCCATCTGACCTCCGATCCATGTATGTGCATCACCGTGGTAATTTTCAATGTTAAACTGATCGGGAGCGGCGGGTTCTGTGATTTGCCCCATTCTTGTTCTGGTCAGTATGTTCCTTATGGCTTGTCTTGAGAGCAGCTGACCATCCTGTCCTATATTTCTGATGAGTGGTCCATTAGGAGTTTGCCAGAAGGCGAATGGTCCATTTGTCACCAGACCATCTCCGTTGCCGAGGAACTGTGGTGACCACGTGACGGATTGGGTGGGGTCAATCATCGCCTCATCCATTGTCGAATCCCAGTATGGTAAAGTAACACCAGGTATCATTTGTCTCAATGCATTCTCAAATCTTAAATCAAATAAAATTAAAAGCTAGTGAATTTTCTTATAGAAATAATATATTTTACAAATTTATCGTTACAAACGTAGAGGATTGCTACATAATACAACTGAATCACGAACTTACATGGTGATAAAAATTCTATGCCAAGCTAAGAATGCTCCTCCATGGTGTATATTATCAACCATTCGAAAGTGAACAAGTCCAAGTGCATCATATCGGTTAGGTCGAATAGTCTGGATAAAATTGTATGGAAAGAATACGTATTTAAATGAACATTAATTCAATCTTGTATGCCTGCATATGTAGATTTATTTGTCATTTCAAAACTGTCCATTTATAAAATTATAAATAAGGTTTGTTACGGAGATTGACTTACCGTATCCTGTTTGAGTAATAGAATGGCTCTGTGGAAGTTGGCTCTCTCCTGCTCCGTCATCGTCCTATACTCCTTCCTTATCCTTAACTGAGGACGCTGCACCTGAGGTATACCAGTAGGCTGTGCTGCGGACATGGTCGGAGACATCACTGTTGGCTGAGGTTGGAATGCGTTCACAGGCTGAAAATTTTGTTGCGTTTGTACAAATGCTGGCTGCTGGGGTTGCACAAATGTCGGCTGCTGGGGTTGCACAAATGATGACTGCTGGGATGAAGCAAAATTAACTGCCTGTGGCTGTTGGGGTGGAGCAAAATTAACTGCCTGCTGAGACTGTTGAACTACTGATTGTTGGGAAAATTGATTTTGAACAGGATTTGTCTGGGTTTGAGAAGCTTGAGTCTGGATTGGTTGATCCTGTCCAGCTAGCGGTTGTTGTTGTACTGAACCTTGGAAAATTTGCTGCTGTGTCTGGACCACTGATTGTGATGGAGGCTGCGGATTCCCGCCGATGATTGGAAACGGCCTCGTTTGTCCGGGCTGAAACCTCTGGGCCTGGCTTGATCCAGTATGTGGATTAACAAATGACTGGAGAGTTTCTGATTGGTATTCCGGCCCCTGTGAATTCTGTGTATTCGATGTTTGTGAATCTTCATCTGTAATGATGGGCTGTGGGGGGAATTGGACGTTAGGATACAGAGAGGGATTATCTGCTTGTCTTTTGTTTATGGAATGAAGGTCCAGCTTCATATCCACGTTTGACATTCTGAGTAGTTCATTAATCCAGCTGACCGTGTCCTGAGATACGTTGGCGTGTTTGAACTTGTCACCTGTGAGTTTCATCCTGTGGCTGTTCATACACCATTTGTTCATGGCTTCCCAGCTGGCGGCACCTTGATTCTTTATCCGCTGTTTTTCCAAACATTCTGTAAAGGACTCAGGTAAATCGATTTCCTCTATGTAAGCTCCCACTAATACTAACACTGTAAAGATGATGCATAAATGCTTCTTCATCTGAAAAACAAAAGATACTACTTATTATGTAATGTAAGTAATCATACATATGTATTGCCTTTACACGAACAAAGTGTTTGTTTTTTTAAAACCTATTAAATTTATACCTATATTGCAACACAATGGACATGTATGGGCATCACCCAAATCCAATCGAAATTACGAAAAAGCTAACTGGGGTAGAGGGACGACTACTTCGCTACATTTTGTGTACGTATTCCTGCAGATCAGGGTCTTTTTATACCTATACATGTTGATCACCTGACTTTTATGTATTATTAAATAAGATTATCGTTTGACCTCTTTGCTGCCGGAGAGGAGGCTCCAGTGAGTCTTGTGAGATACACAACTCTGTTGTCAATTTTGTAATATCTTGTTACTCAAAGAAAACACCGTGACTTTATCATTATGTTAATATTGCTGCCTTATTTTGTTACATACGAGTAACAGTCAATAAAGTATAATTATCATAATTTTTCTGAAGACACAACACTAGTACCAGATTTTAGTTAAGTTTCATGGCGATTTCATATATTAAAAGTTTCGAAAATTAATATATTAAAACAATCATACCTGCTTTCGTTAGTGTGAAATAACACGATGACAGAATTTAACAGGTATACATATATACGTACAAAATGATCTTCAAGTACATATTGCCAAAGGTGTACCCAAACACAGACGTGTACAGTGGCACACAATGTATGTAATATAGACAGTACTGAAGATTCGTTCACACCTACACTGTATGACGCACCGTTAACAAGATACTGATATGAATGAATGAATTAATAGATCTGAAATATTTACAGTCAATTGATGAAATTCATATGGAAAAGCAAACATCTAGCATAATTTCAGGCAAATTGAAGAATGTTTCAAAAATAAGATTAAGAACAAATACAAGTACTTGAACTGTAAATATAAAACTTTACCATTCTTTATCTAGGGATGAGAATTCATCACAGAAGAAAATACTTTATTTTTAAATTTTTTTTAAAATTCATTTTCTAATAACATATATAACTATAAGCATCTTACGGGTCAAATTTTCTAAGATGTTTACGGTAATTTTTTTTTAATTTAATATAGCAAGAACGACATGTCAACAAATGGTCTGCACCTAATGAATAACACAAATTGACCTGCGAGTGCACCCAACACTGTCAACTACATGACAGGAACCACAACGTGTGACGTCATATCCGTGTAACATTGATCCGCCGCTAGGAGCGGTTGCTTTTTGAAGTCACGTCTACACCGAGAAATCGGGTATATTACTCACCTCCTCTAAACCGTAAATAGCAAGTCGAGTTTACAATTAACGATTCTTGAAGATGATACACAAGTTGCAATTACTAGTAACCCCATGTAATTACTCTCATAGGATAAATTTCATCGTGTGTAAAATGGTCATATGGAATGCTAATTCTTCCATGACACCTGATCCCCCCTTCTGCTTTCAGAGGTCCGTGTTTAATTGCTCTGCTTATAATTTGTAGTTTTTAATTTGACTTTTGAAGAGGATTATTGTTTATTATCAATACATTTCATGCAGCAGTTTAGAGAACACTGTATACATGTTATTATTGTCCATACGATTATTTATCTACTTGTACAATAATCTGAGTACAATTTCACCTAACCGAATAGCGAGGTGAATATGCTATACTTCAAAAGTTAATAAATCATGTTTTGACTGAAAAATTAGCGTTTGTTTTAACTATTTGATACTACGATACAAACTCGTCAGGAAATTAAATAAATTAGATGTCAGGTCAACTGTAGAAAAAAAAAGTTATGTTCACCTGGAAGATCAGGAGCAGTTGAACAAATCTGGAAGTCTTGATCTATATTTGGTCCAATGTAGGAAAAATAAATGATATTTATATATGTTCCTCTGTTAAGTCTCGTGCATATAGTATGATTTCTGCAAATTTTTGAATGTCAGCCAGAGAGCAAGCCTAGGAATAATTCAGTCAAAAATCACCGTCTGAAATGTACCCCCAGAAAACATCATCTGCCCCTATCATGTCCGTTGAGTGACTTTTATCTGAGCATTTAATGTGACATTTTGTTTATATATAATTATTTTTTCATGTACTTTTGCTAAAATATTCAATTGTATATTAATATATATGTATCAATTGTCGTGTATATATATTACATTCCATAAACAAATGCCGCTAGAACACATTCCCCCAACCGAACAGATTTAATTTAGTTTTGGAGTCCAAATAAATTTGTAAAAAGAAAACCGAAGTATGTAATTTTCTCTTCGAACAATACAGTTTTGGATTTGAAAATGGTTTTTAAAGTGGAAATTGATGCAATTGATCCGAAGTAATCAATCAACTTAGAAAAAAGGGTCAGATATATAAATTATGCAGGCTATTTCGATACTGTGCTCTACACAAATATTTGAAAAATATCAGCAACAATTACCAAACACTTAATTGAGTATAGGGTTCTAACAACTGTTGTTTTTGTAATTTCTCAATAACGTGAAGCTATTTGAAATATATATATACACACATATATATATATATATATATATATATATATATATATATATATATATATATATATATATATATATATATATATATATTTATAAAAGTCCAGCTCTTTTGTGGAAGATAGGAAATTTTAAGTTATAGGGTTAATGTTTATTTGGAAGGCATATGTGCAATTTAGTTGCAGTGTGTGTACAGAGTTGCATGAGATTGCCTGCAAGGGATGGAAGCGTAGCATTTTATGTTCAATAAATTTGAATAGTTTTTGCTTTAATAATGCGCCCTTTCAATCTATGTCATCATTACTATCAAAAACATTCAAAGCTTGGTTTATAAGAAAGAACAAAAATACCTGATTAACTGTTATAGAAAAGAATCTTTGAAATCGTTTTAAAGATGACCTTAGGTCAATGCGGTGGGATTTCTGCGATAAGAGTTTTTCATTGTTTATTTATTTATTTTTTTTTTAATATAAATATATTCAAACTTTTTCATAACAATTTTCATCAAAGATGTTCCGTAACGACAAAGTCAATACATGCATGTACCTAGTAATCTTAAATGTTTTTACTCAATCCAGAGCTTTACCTTCAGAAATATTTATTCCCTAATTCTTACGTCATTTCCTTATAACCTCTGTTTTATTAGATAGCGTTCATATGAAGACCTTAAATATTTGCAATATTCCGCAACGATTATTCTATAAGGACTTTTCACAACCATCCAATATGAAAGTTAATCCATAAGCTGACATATAGTAATGCTATTTTCTTTATCTAACATCTCTATACCTTTCATACTTGACTTACATATACATGTAATATTTTTATCAGAATTGCCAACAACAGAGAGAATAAAGGGAATAGTGGATCTCCCTGACGACATCCACAGTTTCTAAAATATGCCCCACTTGGTTGAAACTGATGTAGTATTTTTGTTTAAAACAATTTAACCTTTTTCTGTTAATAACTATATGAAAATCATATTCTTTGCTTCACTTACAAATCCTTATTTATTACGAATGAAAGAATAAGAAACTACTAATTTTCTTCTGTTATTAATAAAAGATAGTATTTCAAAAATGATTAGCATCAAGGAGTTTACTATGCCTTGGGAATGTTTTGAAAAGATTAGTTGGAAACATGGCATACTTTTCATACATAATCAGATTCAGTAAGTAATGCAGCTATGAAAACACTTTTCTACAACACAAATATCTTGGAACAGTTGATGAAAAACTCTTTTCATACCGCGTGGCGCAGTGTTAGAGCGTCTGCTCTAGAGTCGCGGAGTAAGGGGTTGATCCTTACGTCGCGGGTTCGAATCCCACTGTGGGACGTGGAGACTGGTCCCTCGGATGAGACCGTATAAACCGAGGTCCCGTGTCGCAGTAGGTGCTGGCACGAAAAAGATCCCTCACTGCTCAATGGCCCTAAGTGCCGAGCATTGGTCAAAATTTGCAGCTCTCCACCGGCAAAGTGGTGGCGTCTCCATATGAGTGAAAAATTCTCGAGAGGGACGTTAAACAACAACAAACAAACAAGTTTTCTTATCTCTCATAAAGAAGAGTTACATGGCTATTTTTTCATTATTTCTTTCAATAAATCTATTTAGGAAACTTTAATTGTGTAAAAATGGACTTTAGAAATGTTCCAAGAATTTTTTTTAATAACAAAACATTTTCAACAGTAAAGAACTGTGATTTATTTATTGAATAAAAGTGATATTCTCTCACAGTGTTAAAGGATACCATTTTAAAGTGATATTCTCTCACAGTGTGAAAGGATATCAAAGTAAGTAAAAAATAATTTCTAGCCTGTCATAAGATATAGTTAACTTAACCATCTTGATAGAGACTTAAACTGCCAATTTCTTCCCATATACATGTATGTTGCTAAAATGTTACAATGTTTTCAATCTCACAACTGCTAAGCTATGACGTCTCAACTGTAAACTGTGACGCCATTGTCTAAGACATTGTGTTTAGAAAAGACAGAGGCAAAAGGAAAATCAAAGAAAATGTTATAAACAGAAATTCAATGTTTTGTAGCTGGATAAGGAATTAATTTCACTCGTGAGACAGGATTTTTTGATATTTTCACCCGTGCTTCGCACTTGTAAAAATATTAAAAAAAAAAAAAAATCCTGTCCCACTCCTGAAATAAATTCCATATCCAACTACAAAGCATTAAAAATCCTCTATTTATTACATTTTCAACAGTGAAATACTGCGATTTATTTATTGAATAAAAGTGATATTCTCTCACAGTGTGAAAGGATATGAAAATGATATTCTCTCACAGTGTGAAAGGATATCAAAGTCAGAAAAAAAATAACTCCTGGCCTGTCATAAGATGGAGATAGAGCTAAAACTGCAAATTTTTTCCCAGATATGTTGCTAAAATCCATGCTATGTAATGTTTTCAATCTCACAACTGCTAAGCTATGACCTCTCATCCACTCAACTTTAACATCAAGCCTATGACACTGTGTTAGGAAAAGACAGAGGGAAATGGAAAATCAAAAACATTTTATTGTTTAAGTATTACATGTAACTAATTATCAAAGTGTTAATATTCGGTTTGTGTATATATTCCCTTTTAAGTCGGAATTTTATATAAAACAACTACTCTTCCAGACCTCGTAACCTTGAACCCGACCTTTGACCTTTTTAAAAAATATATACACGACACATTTTTCGGAGCAGAGCTGCTTTACTTTCACATGATTCAAAAGAAATTTGAATTTTAAGTACTAGTATACGTACATGTATATATGATTGACTCTCTTGATCATTTAAATAGGGGTGGGTCCGAGATCATTCGGACATGCACAGCTTGCGCATGTTAAGTTTTGTTCTTGCAGAAGTTTTCATGCCATGTTTTCATGTTTTAGCACCATTCAAGCCCCAAAATATTAATTGCCACCCTTTAAAAAAAATCTACAGCATATAGTTTCGCTTGCGATTTAAAATAAAATAAAAGAAATAATAATAAAAATAAAACAAATAACCCTCCTTTTTTCCTTAGAAAGGGATTTTTCACTTTTTTCTATATTCCCGTTTCCTACATTGAGAACATTTAAAACAAAATTGTCATTTTTAAAATCTTTCCACCCTTGCTCTAAGGTACGATATATTTTGAACAAACTTAAATATGGACCAGTATTAAAAGATTTGAGTCAACTCCCTCAGCAGCAATCAGGTACATGCAGCTATACTGATGCTCTCAAAAGTCTCCATGCTTTCATTTAGCTCTTACGGGTTAATGAGAGAAAGAGAGAGAGACAGAATTTTACAGTAATAGATGTAAAAGTTTGGCCCCCTAACTAGTTCTTTAAACCATGATCAAAATAAGCTTGTGTGTTTGGAACTCTTGGTAAATTTTTGTACATGTGTATATGTATAAAAATGCAGATTACATTTGTTATTTTCTCCAAAATTAAATACATGTACCACATTTGATAATAATTTCAAAATTTAATCAATGACCGTACATTTCAAAGAAAAATAAAAAAAAAAGAAACTTAATTGTGAATTGTGAAAATAGTTTTTACATGTTAGACCTTAATTTACAGAATACCTATAGATGAAATAAAATTCCATTCCAGCGTTTTTTGAAATGAATTTTGTGTCGTATCAACATTTGGAAAATAATGATACCTCAAATATTTATAATTTAATCAAATAAATGTAAATAATCAATTTATAATTTGTTGAAATTTCTGTAAATTCTCTGTTGGTTTTGATGTTCACAGCAGCAATACTGTTAGTTAATTTATAACTTCCGGTTACTTTTTAACACAAAATGGTGACGAACTCTACAGGGAAAACTGTTACAAATCATCACACTCGTGTTTTAAACTGTGATCTTCGTTGAGATACCCGATGTATAATTATGACATCTATTAGATAGGTTCCGATAATTATGTCAACTTGATTAACATACTAAATAAGATCCTCTGAAATACACCTCCCTGCGGCATGCCAAGAACAAGATCATTTGGATTTCTGGTTCAACATTAGTTAATTCAAATCATATATGATAAAATCAAATAAATATCTCTTTTTAACAATCTGATATTCTTTTATTAACAGTATATATGACACGGACAACGAATGATATTTATCCGTTTTAATGAGGCGCACCAGCTGCTAAAAATCAGAATTAATCTTACTTAAATGTACCTTTTTTGATAACTTCTACAAAAATCTCTAATAATAAACCCGCTTTATTTTGGTTAAAAAAAGTAAAATTAAATTACTTTTTCTTCATATCTGCGTTTTAGTAAATATTTCCAATTAATATTTACTTTTCTACAGCTATAACGTGTGTATCTTACCCTATCGGGTCGCTCTCTCAGAAGTTTGAAATTCCAACTTATACATCCAAACAATTAAAATACAGGATAAAAGGACATTAAGAAGGTCCAGTAAAGCGACCAGCGCCTTAGTATAACTACACACAGGGCATTATGGCGGACGTGCCCGAGTTGTCGCAGCTGACTCGGCATACCAAGCCCACAGATCGACAGGGTTACGTCGACGGCAAACATGTACTTCCGTGAATTAAGCAAAATTAACAGGTACCTGAACCTCAGCCATTTTACCTATGTCCTAGCTTATTGCACAATTATTGCGTTTTGCGTTAAACCAAACCAAAGCAAACTGTCATGTTTTCTTTAATTCAACAGATTCCAAATATAAGATAATTTGGATATATATGCCACCTTATCAATTTTTCAGGAAGGATTATGAGAAATTGTAAGCATATACCCAAATTGACAAGAACTATGTTATTCATGTGCATTTTGTGAATGGTGAAACAAAATATCTGAATTGTATTTGTCCACTCTTGTCACTGTTTTTTCTTTTAAATGGACAAGATCACTATTTTTAAATTAGTCCACATTAAACGACAACAAAAAAATTTTCATTTATTTTCTTTGATTATCTGGGACACATAGCATGGCGACCACCATCTACCGGAAGTGTCGCCCCTGTGATGAAAGAGGAATCATCCGAGGCAAGGAAAGCTATTGCTTTGGCAACTTCTTCAGGTTGTCCTGGGCGTCCGAGCGCATGCGTCTCTTTAGCACGCTCCAAAAACTGAAAAAAAGAAAATATTTTGCAAGTTCTCCGTTTCAATATTTCAGATTATGTGCATCATGTTGACAATGGTGCAAACTTTCAATCGTATTTATTTCCAATTAAAATTCTATTTTATCTCTAACATTCTGTTGCTCACACCTTCAAATTTCATTATTTTGGATATGTTTAGTCAAAAAGAAAAAAAAAATATAAAACATAAATAAAAATAAGAATTTCCAAAACAAAAATGCAGAATCACTCCTTAAAAAGATTTTATTTTATTTAACTTTATTTACGAAATTGCAAAGAAAAATTCATTTTAAATTTTAATATTACAAAGTTTATCCACCCTCTCCATAAACAATGCCCTACCTTTGCGTATGCTTCTTCATTTAATCCGCCACGTTTCTGTAGTTCTGTTATAACCACACCAGGGCTGGCAAGGAAGACGTTAGTATTTATACCAATCATTCAAAACAGGATAGTAAACGAGGTAGTCAACATTGTCTATTAAACTTATTGATTTATCTGGAAATATTCAAAACTTAGATCAAAGTAAAATTTTAACATATATCTCTTTTCGAATGTTCTTCCGTTTCTTATCATGTAATTTTCTAAAAACGTCAATTTCATGCCTAAATTTTCTTTCTGAAACATTATACATTTATTGACTGGGTTCGAGGGCAACATGCGTTTTGTCGGACCCAAGAACCAAACTATTTGCCTGAGGTCGTTAGGCCGAAGGCAAACAGTCTGGTTCGAGGGGTCGACAAACGCATTTTGCCCAAGAACACAGTCAATAAATGTTTTGTTATACCTTTTATTTATATATTTTATCTTTTTTTTTTTGGACATACATGTATGTCGAACACCAACGAATGCAAATGAGATTTAGCTGACCCCGCCCATTATGTGACGTAAGCGGTCCAACATCTCATCGACAGGTCCAATATCTCACTCCGCGGTCAAACATCGATTTTTTTATGCCCGCTCAGTAAAACATTGGAAATGTTAGACTTTTATTAGTATTGATCTATATAATAACAAATTTTTAAAGGTATAACAATCAACACTTTTAAATGTGGATATCTAATTTTTCTACAGAGTACTGAAAGCTGATCTGAGTATGCTAAAAGAAATGCCATAAAAGTATAATTCAAGAGAGGCTCAATTATGCTAACTATATGAAAATTTGCGCGTAACCAGTATTTTCCCGCGAATCAACTAATACTTCTTATGTGCAGAAATAAGAACTGGATAGATTGACAAGTTTTATTTCTGAAGAGAAAGAAAGTAAAAAGACTGTTTTACCGAAGAAATAAAATGAAAAATTAAATAAGCATGTGATGCCCCCCCCCCCCCCCAAAATGCGTGGGATAGGGGCAAAGCATACTCCTTGCTTAAGGGAGAATATATGTAGTTTAATTGTGTTTATGGGAGAATGACTGTTACATGTATTAAAACTTACACAATACTGATTAATTTTTTTCAACAAAAAATTGAAAGTCATTTTAGAGCTAATATTATGTCTTAACCACTGTTTTATCATTGAATCATACAATTATAGCATAATGTACAATTTAATCATATAACAGAACATGTGGTCAACAGATGATTTACAGTTTTAGCTACTCGGCGAGTACAATATTTCCACGGTTTTTTCTCGACTTGATGGAAAGGCTGAGTGATGTTCCGAATATTCAAATTTCAGTTTGTGTGGTTCATAGTTTGAAAGTAAAGTGTAATAAGGTCAAAAAGATGTAAAAACATACTAATTATCAAAGGCCTACCTCTCAAATAAAAAAAAGATATAAAGCTAACTTGACAGTTTGAAGCATTCTTAAAAAGTAGGTCAAAGGTCAAGTGGAAAGTAACTGATATTTTTTCAAATGTTTTATGACAAGCTTGGACTCCTGTCAAATAGCACAGACTTACCTCTCAAAAGTTAAAGAATATTTGTATATTAGCATTATATGGCATTTTGAAAAGTAGGTCAAAGGTGATGTTAAGAGGTCATGAGGTTGGTTTCTCTGCATTGTCCCAAGCAAAACAAGAATATCAAATATCTTCCTCAACAGTTTTCAAGACAAGGTATGACAGTCCCACTGAGAAAGAGAGATGTCGGGCAAAGGGATCCCAAGTGTTTATTATGCAGGCAACGTAAAAATATCATCAAAATGATTTTAAACCTGAGTTTAGCTTCAATAATGACTTTTATAAAACTCTTTTAACTAGAAATCTGACCAGTCAGCAAGGGCCCCACCGAGGGGTAGAAATATAAGGGTGCAGATTAAGGGATGAGAATTTTACTTGATTACAAAAATTTAAAAATATATAAAGAAGAATAAGCAACAGCAACTGCTAAATATCCAACAACCTGTAAATAGTATCCTTGTATTTACATAAAGCATATCATATCTATAATAACTCAATTAAATGTATATTTAAAGAAGAATGAAGCATGTTTTTTCAAAAATGCCAGCCTTCAGTCAATGCAAATATCACCCAGGCTTGACCTTAACTTCAAAACAAACATCAGTTGCAGACAAAGGTGTTAATCAAACTTAAAGTGACAGAAAGATAACCTTCTAAAATTTTCTGCAAGCAGCAAGATAATCAAACCCAGGGGATTAATCGTACTGCTCTCTCAACCTTTTCTTCTAAGTTTACAATAAGAACTTTTTCAGCAATGATAGAATGGGGTTATTATCTGAATACCTGTTAAAATAAATAGTATGCTTGAATTCACATAAGGCAGAAAAAAAAGAAAGAAAGAAAATAAAATAATAATAATAAAGATATCTTTATCTATATCTTGTTTTTAGAATTCAATAAAATCATAACTCATTGTGTATTTTACCAAAATAAAGTATGAACATTATTTAAATCCACATTTCAGAGAATGTAAACATCATTCAGAATTGACCTTAACTTCAAAACAAACTTCATTTGCAGACAGAAGTGTTAATTAATCTCAATGTGGCATATAAAGATAGATACTTTGAATTTTCTTCAAGAGGAAAGTTAATTAATCCCAAGAAACTCATTGCAGCCTTTACTAGTTTACAATAGAACATTCTCAGCAGTAATCTCTCTTTGCCTATTCACTCTTATATAAAGTTAAGGAATCTACCCCACCACCCCAGCTCCAAACCGGATGACAGAGAGAACCAAACTTAGCATCAAAATGTGTCTTACTGCCTATATTCAACCAACATACAAAATTTGAAGTTAATTGGTCAACCCAAAAAAAATTATTAGAAAAAAACAGAAAATTTTTGGACGGAAGAATGACAGACGGACAGACAGACAGACAGAGTGATAACTATAGGGCACCCGAAAATCCTTGCGGGGCCCTAATAAAATGGATATTAACTTAAACTTCTCACACAGGCCTGTTTTGTATGAAGGGCTAACAAGCTTCATGAAAAATATATACGAAATTTCAATTCATACTTTCATGAATTTTTCAAAATTAAACTTATGTTTCTAAAACTTACTAGTGAGTTACTTGTATGGAGTGAAACATGTTTATAGAGAAATGCTAAAAATAATTCTATATTTCATAACTCAACATGTCCTGATCAGAAAAGAATTTGTGATTTTGCATGTAACCTTACTGGTACTTCTGAATGAAAAACTATAATTCCTAATAAAAAAGGTATTTATTATTTGTTTGTCCAATATACATGTAAGCATGCATGAAGCTCCAAGTTTGGTTATAAATGAAAGAACCCTCGGTGTAAAATATGGAACCAGACCTTTTTGTGACTGTCAGACATATTCCTTTGAAAATGATAGAAAATGGTTGTTTACCCATGATAACACAGTTAGCCTTAGAACTGGTTAAAATTTTGCCCTATTTGTGTAGAGGTCGCTTGTTTTAGGATAAAACTAGAATGTGAACTCAGACACAATACAAGTCTCAGAGATGTTGATCTTCATACCCTCTTGCATGTGACCATTTTCAATTTTCAAGTAAACCCACACCCCTACAGTGAAAATGGAGCGCACTGCTACTGCTTACCGTCAAAAGGACAGTACTGAAAATGTACTAACATATAAAGTACTTACTTGACACTGTTCACCCTCACTTGTTTTGGTGCCAACTCTGGTAAAATAAAGTTAAAGTTAAAATCTTTGAGTTCTCTGTATGCTAAAATGATAACATTCCATTACCTCAAAATAATACAATTTGTTTAAGAATAGTTCTCAGATCAGCACATGAACTTGCTACAAAGCTGATTGATCTTTTGTTTTGTGCTATCAGTTTGTTAGTGTTTCCTACATTATTTTAATTCATTTGTAATGATCAGATCCTAATTACCTAGAGCTGTACACCTTGTGAACTGATCAAG